TACAAGGAGATTTTGATGAAGATGTTTATATGACTATCCCATAGGGACTTAATAGTAAGGGGGAGAATGTAGTCTGTAAATTGAATAAATCTCTATATGGATTAAAACAGGCATCGAGGAAATGGAATTTTTAACTAACACAAGCACTTAAATCTGGTGGTTTTAATCAAAGTCTGCATGATTATTCATTATTTGTGAAACATTTTAGTGATGGAATTGTATTAATCCTTGTATATGTGGATGATTTATTAATTACTGGAAGTTCTGAAATGGGTATTAAACAAACCAAAAACTTTTTGCACAGCAAATTTAGGATAAAAGACCTCGGTGTTCTGAAATATTTTTTGGGAATAGAAGTAGCTCGTTCTAAAAAGGGAATAATGATGAATCAGAGAAAATATGTGCTAGATTTATTGTTTGAGACAGGTATGAGCGGATGCAAACCATTAAAAGTGCCCATGGCTCCTAACTTGAGACTCACAGCATATGAAGAAGGAAGAAATAAAAGGGAAGAACTTTTAAAAGATCCTGGAGAATATAGAAGACTAATAGGTAAGTTGATTTATTTGACTATGACTCGCCTTGATTTATCTTTTTCTGTGTAGAACCTAAGTCAGTTTATGCAAAATCCTACAAAGGCACACATGGCAGCAGCTAAAAATGTGCTGAGGTATCTGAAGCATAAATCCGGACTAGGAATACTGATTAGTTCCAAAACTGATTTGACACTGAGATGTTTCTGTGATTCTGATTGGGTTGTGTGCCACACTACAAGAAGATCAATTTCTGGCTATCTTTTAAAGTTAGGAGATTCCTCAATCTCCTGGAAGACAAAGAAGCAAGGAACTGTGTCAAGATCCTCAGTGGAGGCTGAGTACAGAGCATTGAGCGTGGCTGTATTAGAAATAGTGTGGGTGCTGGGATTAATGAAGGACTTAGATCTGCACAGCATTGAACCTGTTATGGTGTATTGTGATAGTAGGGCAGCCATACATATAGCAAACAATCCTATATTTCATGAACATACAAAACATATAGAGATTGATTGCCATTTTGTTAGAGAAAAGCTTCAGCAAAAATTAATCTCCCTACAGTATGTTCGTTCAGAGGATCAAGAGGCTGATGTATTTACCAAAGCCTTGGGACATAAGCTTCATGAAAAATTGCTCAGCAAGTTACAAACTATAGATGTACATAGTTTGAACTTGAGGGGGAGAATTGAAGTTATGTGAGGGATATTTTTGTATTTGTCTTTAATAGCACGGTGCAATTTCGTTTTCATAGTTTGTTGATTTGGTGATTGTTAAATTTGTGATTTCTGAATTCTGATTGATGAAATTAATGCTCAAATTTATAAACAATATATTAACCTCATTAACTAAAATGTACTACTGTCGCAACTGAACCTCTGAGTTAACAAGGCTATTAAAATGCAGCTTCAACTATTTGCTTATCAAGCTCACATTTTTTACAGCTAAAATTTATGGGTTTTTTCTGTTTTGCAACTGGATTTTTAAAAGTCATTCTGACTTAGTACTTTTACCAATATAAAATTTATACTAAATCCAATTATTCGCATGTTATAAATTATATAATTCATCTAAAATTTTGTATGAGGTATATATGGTACCTAGCTTATCTACATTTATATTTATAATCTTCACACACACACACACACACACACAATATTTTATATAAAAATGATTTTGACGTTATAATTTGATCTAAAATTTTATAACGGCAAGTTTACAAGTCCTATTTGTATAAATCTTCTTCAATCTAACATTATTTGATGAGTATTTCTTCTACTTGTTCATATCAGATCAAATTTGTTCGCACTCGACATTTTAAGATTCAATAGCCCACAGATCTTCTTGTTCTGTTGTTGTTGTTGTTATGTTTGTACCTCATCTTTCTGCTTTTTTATTATTTGAATTTGAATTCTTACTTTCTCTCCTACAATTTATTTCAACTTCTTTTTTTCTTTTGATATAATAATTGGGCATTCGAATTTAGGCATTGTGGGGTTTTAAAAGGGATAGCTCTCCCAAACATATTTTCTCTATTTCGATCACTCTAAAAATTGAACTCAAAAACTAGTGGGTAAAGGAACTCTGAACCAACATAAGTCAGGTGAATTTATTTCAAATTCAATTCATATTACTTTAGCCATAAATAATTAGTTGTATTGAACAGTGACCCAATCATGTGGACTGGAGTCTAGCCACCCTGATTTAGAATCTAATTACCCACGTGATCTTTATTTCAAATTCAATTCATATTACTTTAGCCATAAATAATTAGTTGTATTGAACAGTGACCCAATCATGTGGACTGGAGTCTAGCCACCCTGATTTAGAATCTAATTACCCACGTGATCTTTATAGTCATTTCTCTGCACTGTCTCTTTCTTCAATTTGTCGTATTCAGAAAATAATTTTGCCCTCATTGCTCGATTCTTGTTGGTAAAAAAAAAAAAAAAATCACTATTGTTTTTAATTTTGCCCTCTCTGCTCAATTCATATTGCTCCATTTTCCTCCGTGATTAAAGTTCATAAGTAATTTGCATATTTAATTCAACATTTAATTATTCTTCTCCTTTATAAAATTTGATTAATTCCACATTAGTTCTTTAAATAAATTATCAAAGAATTCATACTAAAAAGTTACTATTGTTTTTAAATTTTTCTCATGAAGTACTCTTTCCCAAGAAATGGGGACTGGTATTCTCCTTATCCCGGCCCTACATGCATGAGCACCCAGAAATATTGCATTTATTAGGTTTCATGCCTTCTTTCCAGTACCTAGATATTCTTTTATTTGCTGTTTTCGAACATTAATCTCAATCTTTATTTTTTTGTGATCATGGAAAATCACAAAAGAATATTAACACTAAATGTTTTTAAAATTTGATTTAATAAACCAATTAAATTTAATCAATTGGACCCTGTAGTATTTAAATGCAAAATAAAAAATAATAATATTTACGTTCTAATTTAGAAGAAAATAGTGTGTTCTTAAAAAGATGACAAAAGAAGAGTAGAAAAGATTAGTAGGTGTTAAAAATGGAAGCAATGATAATGGGGTCACCTGTGAGAAGCATGATAGATTGCTGATGAGAGAGATAAAAAAAAAAAAGAAAAAAAAAAACATGCCAGGGTCCAGCTTTGTTTGGAGGTTGGCTCACTTCTCATAATCAAAGTTAAGTGTTTTTTTTTTCCTTTTTGCAACAAAAAACGTTAACTGTCCTGTAAATGTCAATAAAATTTAATTAAATCTCATTTCTCAATAAAATAATTACTTATCTTTAAATTAACTCTATCTTTTCATTACAAAAAAATAAAATAATCTATTTAATAGAAGTACTTAAAAAAAAGGTAATAACTATAACTTACAAGATTCAAAATGCGTTATATTTTTAAATATTTAACTCATAAAAAAATATCTTATATTTTTGAGTGAAGGAAGTAATACATTTTTAATCAAATTATACATCTTCATAAGTTAATTAATTGTCTTTAAATTGATACTTCTTCCATCTCAAATTATAAGACACTTTTAGATAAAATCTCACATGCCAATAAATTTTATTAAATATACTTAGCAACCTTATCTTTTCAAAATAAAAATATATATTTTTTAAAATATCTATCATTTAATATATTGAATAGAAAAGTGATAAAAATTAATTATAGAGAAAGAAAGAGTAATATTAGAATTGATGCATTTAATGAAACATTAATCTACTCAAAGTATTTTATATTTTAAAAGAAATTTTTTTTTCAAAAGTGTTCTATAATTTAGGACGGAAGAAGTATAATTTTTTTATGTTTGTCCTTATTTAATAAAAATATGGAAAAATCATTCCTATATGTCATATAAGCCACGTCCTACAAGTTTCATCTTAACTAGAAAATTTTTTAAAATTCATTAACTTTATCTAACAATTCAATAAGTTTTTTATTTTATTCCTATTAAATATGCTTACTATCTTTGGTAACATTAAATATGCACACTTTAATAGCATACTTCTCTCACTAATATTTACTTTATCTATTTAAAAATATAAGATATTTTTAATTAAATTTTATCCCTTAATAAAGCAGTTAATTGTTTTGAAACTAACATTATTTTTTCATATTTATCCTAATTTAATAGAGTATTTTACTTTAAAATAGATATAAAATGATTTATTTATTATGAATACTTTTGAAAAAAATACAATAATTACACATTAAAATATTAAAAATATCTTACATATTTGAGAGGGGGGAATAATGAAAGATAAAACATAAAATTTATAATAAAAATATTAATAATGTGATTTATAAATAAAAAAAAATATTCTCTCTACCTTAAAAGTAGAAGGAGAGGGAATATTGTGTAACTGTGTACTTCTTTTGTCTTTTCTGGCGCTGGAGGGGAGGGTGTTAACGTTTTTTAGGATTAAATATTTGGAGACCCATGTATCATACAGGAGAAGAGGTAGAGTGACCCCCCCCACCGCACAAGTGGTTCCTCCCCACTTGTGGTCCATGAAAAAAAAAATAAAAAAACATCTTGATTTATACACACTTATTCCTCTCTAAAATATAAGTATTTTCTCTCACTAATCTTGATTCAAAATATAAACAATTTAGTGTTTTTAATTTTTTTTCATTTTACCCTTATTATCAATTGTCACTTTAAATTTGGACTAGGCGAAACAAAAAAGGGACTCTTGGGAATTAATGACACCAGCAAGTAATTGAATGTTAACATTAGACATTTTTGTCAATGCATGATTGTTTCCCAGCAACTGGGATTTATAATTTAATATGGCCGCGTCTGAGTTCCGCACCAAAAAATTTGAGGTAAGAATGATTAAGCATCGATTTGATGCAACACCCTTTTGGCCCACGCTCACATACTATCACATGTGAGAATACATGTGTGTGTGTGTATAAAGCAACCAACGATCAGAAACACACTCAGAATTATAACATACCTAGCAACTGAGAAGCACAGATAGAGAGAGAGAGAGAGGATGGGAAGGAAGCCGTGTTGTGATAAAGAAGGTGTAAACAGAGGAAGTTGGTCTGTCATGGAAGATCAAATCCTTGCCAACTTCATTAAAGTCCACGGAGAAGGAAAATGGAGGGACGTTCCAAAACGAGCAGGTGGGGGTGTGTGTGTGTGTGTGAGCTCATTGTCTTGTATCGAGTTTCAGAACTTAATTTCAAGCTGTTTGGATCAGTTTATTCTTCTCTGTTATATGAATATTATTCTCATTTGATTTTGTTGTGTGATCGATGAATTTGTGAGAGATTAGGGCTGAATCGATGCGGAAAGAGTTGCAGACTTCGATGGCTGAACTATCTCAGGCCCGATATCAAGAGAGGAAACTTCTCCGAAGATGAAGAAGACCTCATTATTAGACTCCACAAGCTCCTCGGCAACAGGTATGTACTCACTCCGTTCAGTGTATTATAAAATTCGTCTTTTTGTTTAAAAAAAAAATATCAGTTTTAAAAAATTAATAGAAGACATTTTGAATCTTTTAAGTATATACTTCTTGGTAACATGCATGTAGAAGAGTAATTATTGATTTCTTTCTAATCCCTTTCGTCAGTTTATAATACGATACAAAATAGCAGCAATACAATATACTCAATGACTAATTAATTATTCGGCCACACTACTAATTTTAGTCGGTTTATGGCATTAAAATTTAGTGACGCAATCATTTGTATATAGATTACAGGATCATTTTGAGAATATATACAACACCAAGATAAGTTCACGCAATTCAGTTAATTTAATTTTCATCACGTGTACCTACTCTATATACAAGTACTATTATTTTGTATTTTGATGTTGTTAATGTCATTCCGCATTGGTTGGAGTGACCACTCAAGTTGGATCAGACGGCCAACAAACGTGGACTCCGAACAAGCTGTCATTCAAAGCAGATTCAACACACAAAAAGACAAAAGTACTCCCAACCAATTCATGTTAATTCACATTCATTAGATCCAATTTTTGACAGAAAAACGTCACACCCCAATTATCAGAGCTAAATCTCACTCAGATTGGTTACCATATGTACAATAGCCATCAAATCTTGCCTTATGAGTTAGGTTCAAATCGAGCTTAGGTTGAAACACTATCAATAATGGGGTTTCCGGTGGGTATCCAGAATTCTCTCCCGCTCCTCCCCTCCTATTTTCTATCCTACCCTCACAAGGGCATGTTATTTTTTTTTTCTTTACATTTCTTAAAAAATCTTGCCCTTGTGAGGGCAAGATGGAGCATGAGGAGAGCGAGCTGGCAAAGAGGCAGGCAGATCGATCCAGAGCACGACAAACACTCAAATCCAATTATATTGTTTCAACCTAATAATCACACTACAACATTGGTAATGTATGTGATTCATTTAAAATTTTATGGTGGATGGTAATATATGTAAAGAAGAGGTTTATTATTTGAATCCAAATATATGAGTCTTACATTTGAAAACCTTACAAGTGAAGTGTTGTTTATAAGTTTAAGAGGTTCTCCTACTTTGAAGGTTAATCCTTTGAAATGAGTTCCCCTTTTGAATTTATACACAAAATATTAGTGTTTTCATTGAGAGTATAGTGTGGTGAAAATGGCTATTGATAAAGGATTTTGATTGAAAGAGAGTTAAGTTAAGTATTGTGAAGTGAGACCATCAAGGACATCTTCTTGATAAGGTGGCATTGTCATGGCCCCCATATTGAGAAGCCTTATAAGTAGAGCAGAGTTGATGAATTTAAAAAACTTTTTTATTCAGTCTTTTAGAATGTGTTTTTCCTTTAGACTTATGCTTATGATAGAATTCAATATCAAATTATTGGTTTGGAGCATCTCACATACAGTACTGCTGCTGCGACATCACCATTATGTTACCAAAGTGTTCAGAAACAAAATACGTACTTCATTATTGTCAAGCTTATTTCTTACATATATTGATCTTGGTTAATTCTATACGGAATGAGAGTTGGTTAATCATATTAATTAACGTTATTGACTAATAATGCGAACCCAGGTGGTCGCTAATTGCAGGAAGATTGCCAGGAAGAACAGACAATGAGATCAAGAACTTCTGGAACACGAATCTAAGCAAGAGGGTCCCTCAAACGAATTACCCCCACAGCATCATCAAACCCTCAGATCCAGCCACATCAGCACCTCCAACATCTACTCATCAACACACAAAATCCTCGTCCTTTCATGCTTGTTTTCCTGCAGAATCTTCTTCCCAACCCAACCTTGTGATTCGAGCAAAACCAACGAGATTTATCAAGAAACCCATCTTGCCCAAATCCAATGGTAATAACTCAGTCTCATTGAATATCTAGCTAGAAATATATCCGAAATGATGGTATTGTATCGATATATGATCTGTTTGCTTTTCGTATAACTATACAGCAGCAGAGTGCTTGGAAACCCAGAATACTACGACTGGTTCCGCACAGGATAAAAAAAATGATTGTTTCTCTTCGTATGGTTTGCTTGAAGATTTTGACGTGGATGGCTTGTTCATACCAGAGGTGCCACAAGGGCCATGCACGAGATGCTTCAAGAACAAGATGGAGAACACTGATGATGACGAAATGAATGAATTAGAATGCTGTGACTGTGAGAATCTTAGGGAAGATGTTGGAGCTGATCAAGCCGGCGTGGCCGATGACTCCATAGGGCAACCGCATCTTACAACTCAGAATTGGATTGTCGGGCAATTCTTTGAATCAGCAGATGATGACGTGGATTTCTCTTTTTTAAATCTACTAAGTGATGACTGATTCATGCATGGACGAGTCAGATTAATCCTACTTGTGTAATAAAGAGAAAAATAGACACAAGTCAAAAATGAGGCTCACCTTTTTGTGTCTGTTTCTCTTTTCATGTTAGGTGGATCCATTTGAAGGGATCCATGGTCATAAATTGTACATGGTAATTTTATCGAATGATTCGAATTCGATGATGATCTCTCCCGATGTCGCTGGAGTTTTCATCGCCAAATATATTTGTCATGAATTTTTTTCACCTTATAGTAAATTTCATATTTTAGAGTAATCATAATATGCATCTATAATTAAGATATTCAATCTCAGAAGATAGAATAGAATAGTGCTAAGTAACACCAACCAATTATTGAAGGAGACAAGATTCATGTACTATGTATAGGACATCTCATGTATGTCCCAATTCGATGAACTATAATTAATTTGAAGGGAGGATGGAAAAACGATCAGACATGAGAATTGAGAATAAGAAAGGAAAGACTCACGGGCGGGCGTGTATTACATTGACCACTATGTATTAATCATGATTAAAATTACCTATAATATTTGGCATGAAAAAACATATATTTTCTTCATTTTTTATTGTAAAACACTTTCAATAATTTCACGTATCTTAAAAAAATTTATTTTTATATCATAAAAAAATAAGATATACTTTCTTTTTTATACTTAACTTTTAATAATGATACAATTATATTGAATACTTTCATGTTAATTAAGAAAGAGTAAAATTAAAAAAAGTAGTTTAAATATTAAAAGGTGTCCTACATTTGAGATAAAAATTTATTTTTAGTAGGTATTTTGTAAATAGAATTGGAGGGAGTATATCAAATGAAATTCTATATATAAAAAATTTGTAGAATATTAATGATTTTATGTTTGAATTTTGCAATAAAACGATGTGCGTTCAAATTAAAAAATGATGAAATGAGAAGACATGGAAGAAGCAATCTCAAAGAGACCCTTTTTAGAGCAGACAAACTCCGATGATGATTAATTCGTTGGTAGTTTGTGGCCGCAACATTTGACAATATATGTTTGAGACTCTTACACATACCTCAGTCTCTCTGTAATCTTTACAACTTTTCACACTTTAATTAAATTACTCTGAACGAATTAGACAATCGGTAGTATTTTTTGGGAACCGGATCCTCTCAATGGCCAAATCTGGTGCACGCATCACATGGTTTTTAAAAAATGCATGTGAACAGTTTATTTTTGAATAAGAAAAAATATATATTCTGAAAGATCACGTTTTTATTTAATGGAATACTGTTTTGTATGCTTAAAAATATTGTGATGAATTCTCCCTTCACACTCCCTCCATCCTTATATATAAGATATTTTTAATCGAATCATGCAAATCAATAAAAGTTGATTATTTAATTAAAAGTACATCAACATTTCAATTTTGCCTCTAATTATTCTACATAAAAAATGAATTTCTTCTTCCAAAGTAAATTAAGGAGAGTACTTATCATTTTTTCTTTCCAATTTAATAACAGTATAATGAAACAATTATTAAAAAGTATGCTAACAATTTCTTATATTTAGGGGCAAAAAATGTTCTAGAAGACTTCTTATATATAGGGACGGAAATAGTATATGTTAAAGAGAGAAAAATTTTTTAGTCCTATTTATGTGTTTTGTTTGTAAATTTGTATCATAAATTTCTCCTTTTATTACAATTACTAAATATTGGTGAAAGAAAATATATTATTAAAATATAATCAGTCTTATGGTCTTTGGTTATAAGTCACTTTTAATATATTTTACTAAAATTAAAAAAAATTAAAATTCATTAACTTTTTTTAAGAACTTAATAAGCTTTTAATTTTGCCCCTATTAAATATATATATTTTAATAAATATATTTTCTCTCATTAATATTTAATAGAAGGAAAACGGAAAAATTTGTGATAAAGATTTAATTATGTGACTTATAAATAAAAAAAATCTTCTATCTCCACCTTATAAATATAATCACAAGAATATTTAATAAGAGTAAAGTTATAATACTTTAAATTTTTATATAGAAGTAATAAATTTCAAAGATTTTTTTAATTTCAGTGAAATATATTAAAAGCTAAGTGACTTCTAAATTTGAAAAAAAGGGAACGTGATTAAGGTAGGCTAATGCTATAGAATTTTTTTTAAGGCGAGGTAGTATCTTCAGTCTTCATCACATAACTCGCATACATTGAATACATTTACCTCCATACCATAAAAAAGCTTCCTCCCAATTAAAGTGTAATTTGGTAATGTTATAAAAAAAAAATGTAACTTGGTAAAGATATAATGAAAGTTGTGTTTTGAAACCCAAACTCAATCGGGTGGTCCAATCGTCAACCACTTAACCAAACAAATTTATTCAACCATTTGGACCACTTTTACATTTAGACTGGATTGACCTTAGGTAGTTTTAAGATAATTAGATTTGACTCAGAAATTGGAGCAGGTCAACCCAATTTAAAAGCAAAAAAAAAGATCAAGTCACTCAAATTCATGATTTTTCTTCTCTAATATCTAGTTTTCTTTTGTTTTCTCTTCTCTTATCTTTGATCTCTTCTTCATAACTCAGGCTCAATCTCCGACCTCTCTTCTAAACTCTGCCTCTAGCTTTAATAATTTAGCTTTTATTATTAAGGTCAGAAGCTTGTGAGTCATGATATGATGGTGTTTCTCTAAGTCCAACTTTTTACATCGAGATAGCAAGCTTGTGCTAACATGTCTCTACTTTCAACTCCAACGATCTAGACATCTAACTTTTGACGTCATTATCCCAAACACTATCGACAAATAAATGTTTTATTTATATATTTATATATATAAATTTTATTTTTATTTAATTTTTATATCTTCACTTCTATTATCAGTTTAATTGATTGAAGTATAAAAATTGTCATTCATTATTCTTTTTGATTCGGCGTCCGGTTCATGTTTCATAACATTGAATGAAAGTACGTGAGGAGCGTGAAGGTTTGAATTATCGTGTCGCATAGCTGAAGTGAAAGCTTCAAAGGATATTAAAAAAAAAAAAACAGAAAAAAAGAAAAACGATGACACGTCGAAATGGAAAAGACAAGGGCGCCTAGGCCTAGTTCTATGATCCCCTTGATAGTAGGGCTCAAATATGATTGAATAGCAGTACTCTCTCTGAATCTGAATTCAATTCACCTCCTCCTAACCATTAAATTCAAATAAAAAAATAATAATATCAATTATATCTCATAAATTTTTTTTAAAAAATAAAAATATCAATTATATTATTATATAATTTTAAATCCATGCACTTAATTATTACATTATAATTATTTAATTTTATTTATTTAAAAGATAATATTAAAAAAATATTTTTAATATTTAATATTTTGAGATAACAAAATACTTTTAAAGTTGTAATATAATTTTTGGGGTAAAGGAAGTATTGCACTTTCAATTATTTTTATTAGGATTGAGAAAAATAGTTAGAAATAGCTAGTATTATTACATGAGTAAAAAGTTATTAATATTTTTTTAAAATATTCTCAAATTAAAATCAATATATTTTAATTTTCTTCATTTTCTTTCCTATATAATATCTGTTTAACTTTTTAAAAAGTGACTTAAAAGGAGTATTACACTTGCCAGGTTCAAGGCGCTTGTTTGGATTTAAAATCACGATATTTTTTTTATTTAGATATGATTTGAAAATTTGTGCTCCTTGTTTGGCGAGGCGTACAAGAGAACATTGGGTAAGGGATTTATGTACTTTGATCAATCATCATTCTAATGTAAACAAGTAGTAGATACTGAAACAATTTTTTGTCAAGTGTAATTCTAAAATATAATCAAATTATTTTGATTATACATAATTGTCTTTCTATTGAAGTTATTTCTATTTAAATCACAATCAAGTATTAAATGTGACATTAATTTGTCACATGAAGTACTCCCTTTCAAAATTTCACTAAACATATCTGTTGATTGTAATTAAATTTTTAATTGTCATGTTTTTCATTCAAGAAAGAATATATATGACTTGACATGCATTATTTGACGATTGGTTAACTTTTTACCTGAAATCACGCGGTGACTCTTTGATTAGAGATTTGACAAAGAATCAGGCATGGTTCACGAACCTTTATGTTACCTAGTAGATTGTGCACAAATTGGAGATAGACTATATTATTCATAACTTATTAATTTATTTTTCCAACTCTAGGTGCATGGGAAAATAAATCATGAAGGGTATAATGTTAAGTAATTACTATGAATTAATATGTTGTGGGTTTCCCTCCTTATGGACATTATTTGAACTTTGAAGGCATTGAAGATTTGAAAGTACATGTATTTCAGAGCCCAAAGAATTTGGCCTTGGTCACGATGCTGCAGAGTTGCCATGGAGGGTGCATCAAAAAGCACTGTCGTTGAACGTGTTGTGTTGATCAATGATGTTGTATGATCTATCCCTCTTTCCAATCTTCTTTTCGGCCACTTTTATTATGAGACCACGTACGTCCACCCACCCCCCCTCTCTCTGTCTCTCACACACGACACCACGAGAGTCACGTTGTTTAATCTTAATTTCCCCATAAATCGCTTTATTTTTTCTAAACATATTACTGCTCAGTTGAGTTGTTAACCCTCCCATGTAGCTTTATCTAAGAGTACACTTTACCATAAAATGATACTCCATCCCTCTTTAATAAAAAGTAAATTTTAGATTATTTTTTTAATAAACACCTGATATCTTAAACCTACCTCTGTATAAAGATTTAAAGGGTTTAAATTAATTCAAATTGAGCATGACAAGTATCTAAAGGGTGTACATGTTCCTGGTTAGTGGTGGAGCCAGAACCTCAATTTAGGGGGTGCAATATAATTAAAAATAAATAATTTTTAAAAAAATTCATAATTAAAAATTTAAATTCCTATATTATAATTATGATTTCATATTTAAAAAAATTGTTTATGAAATAAAAATAAATAATTTTTAAAAATTTGTCGTGAAAAAATTGGATTTGATATATGAAAATGAAAAAAAATAAAGGCATATTTAATATTAGTGAGTTTACAATTTATGTTTAAATTTTACAATTTATATATGAAAAACTATTTAAATAAAATATATTTAGATATAAATTAAGAGTAGGTGGCTTTAAATAGTCAGTGTAAGTCGTGTAAAATAATAAGGATACAGGGATGTAAAAGATAGAACAAAGAGTATTTTATAAAATGAATAGAAAGCGTT